TCTTACAAATAAGTGACTAAATAATGTTAGAGTAGATGAAAAACCAATGAAATTATTAGTCACTCTCAAGACTGCTTCATGTTTTTGAACACTATTCATCAGAAAAACAGAAATGGAATCTCCTGGATGACTGATATCCTTTAATACCCTAACTACAACAAAAATAATAATCTTTCTTGACAAATTCCAATTATGATCAAGGTGCTTGGGGCAAGCTTGGAGAAAATATGAAGGTTGGCACTTTATCTTTATAGTGTTGCATATTTAATTGTATTTTATTCTTAAATCAGCCAAACTGTCCCTTTTAGATAAAAATGTAATGCTTTAAAGTCAAAAGATTTTGAGTATGATACTCATGCCTCTTTTTATATAACTGCATATATCTATAGAATCCTCACTGTATCATCAAAATAACACCCCAAAGCAAATTTTACTCAATTATAGAGAATCCTCACTGTACTTACTTTTCAAGGGGGTAGAAAACAATCTAAGGAAAAAATATGTAATGCACCATACATTAAATCCACAGTGATTTTTACACTGAAGAGCTTGCTAAATGCAATGTATAGGTCAACATTAAGCTTCTGAACAATAAGCAGGTTTCACTAGAAATATGTAGGTGGGTAGAAGAACAACATTACAAATATTTTACTACTAATATTAAATTCAGAAATAAAATCCAAATGGTTCTCTGAAAACAAGAGAAACCAATTTATAAATTTGTGTACATAAGAGAATTAATAGGGAAATTGTTAATTCACAGTTAGAGCTCTGTGTTTCAATGACAAACTTCCAAGGGCTATATTCTACAGACCACTTGTAGTTGCATTAAATGCTGTCTGACCAATAATGATTTCCTGTTTCACATAGGCATTCTGAGCTGCCCCTTCACTGTGAAATATTTTTCAGATCAAATACCAAATCAGCTGCAGCAAACCAAATAACAATCATCCAAAGTGAAAGATGGAGAATATTAGTTGATGCATTGTTTTTACAATGCTATGTTGTTTCAAACATAACATAAAATATCTCACATAGTAAAAATGAAACTCAAGTATAATAATGCCTAAAAGGAAAAGTTACACTGAGAAACAAGTTATAAGCCAAATGAATAATATAAAGTATTCACATCAGTGCCAAATTTGGCTATTCATGGAATGATTTTTAGTAATCTTTTAGCATATACACATATCATACTTGAAATTATCAAATTCATTTGTGAAAATCTTATTCCAATTTGACAAAAGTATGGGGTACCAGTGTAGTACAGTCTAATGATTGGAAGGCAGTATCTTAGAATGCTCAATTCTCTAGAGACGTTCTGTAAGTGATCTTTTTTTTTGCCAACAACAAAGTATCATGAGGATCTTTAAGATGACTGATTTTTCACGCATACTATTAAGCATTACAACAGTGGTTTTCCAAAATGACACATACTTTAAAAAGAAGTGCTAAAATTATTCTTTTCTTCATCATTCTCTCAAACAATTCTTCCTTTTCCTGCCTAAGCTCAACTGATTTTGGAAACTCGGTATCAAAAGGGTTAGATGTGGCTATAAGGCATTATGGGGCAGCTAAGTGTGGCATGACTGGTTCTGAAGCTCACCAGTTAGGTTCTATGGCTGTGAGATTTCCTGTGGGAAGGATCTGATACCAAACAGCCCTTCCAAAGTGCTGGCTGAGGATTTAGCTCAGTGGTTCTGTTGCCGGCCTCACAAGCGCAAGGTCCCAAGTTTAATCCCCGGTACTAAAAATTAAAAAAACAACAACAACAAAAAACAAAGTGCAATCCGTAGACCTCGTCACCCACAAATCACTCTGCATGGATTTTCCTTAAGAACTACTCTGACTAGGGCCGGGGATTTAGCTCAGTGGCACCCTGCCTGCCTCTCAAGTGCAAGGTCCTGAGTTCAATCCCCGGTACTGAAAAAAAAAAAAAATTCTACGACAATAAAGAACTACTCTGACCAACTTCAGAGAACTCAAATGACAGAGTTCTGCCTTTCTGCCCTCTCAGTTCAGAGTGCATCACTTCCAAATTTATTTCACATATTCTGCTACAGGTCAGCTTAGCTAAAAATGTTTGCAACACCAGTAGCTTTCAGGTTTTCTAATTTGGATATTACAGTGTTTCTGTTTTAATGTTTAGATCTTTGATCCATTTTAATTTCAATTTAGTACCTGGTGAGAGACATGGGTCCAGCTTCAATTTTCTGCAAATAGATGTCCAGTTTTCCCAGCACAATTTGTTGAAGGCTATCTTTTTCTTCTAATGTATGCTTTTGGCCCCTTTGCCGGAGATCAAATTGCTGAATGTGTCTGGGGATGTTTCTGTCTTCTATTCTGTTTCATTGATCCATGTATCTGTTTTTGTTCCAGTACCATGCTATTTTTATCACTGTTGCTTTGTAGTATAGCTTGAAGTCAGGTATTATGTTGCCTCCTGCTTTGCTCTTTTTTTTTGTACCGGGGATCTTTTTTTTTTTTTTTGGTACCGGGGATTGAACTCAGGAACTTGTGCTTGCAAGGCAGGTGCCAGGACCACTGAGCTAAATCCCCAGCCCCTTGCTCTTGATGTCCATGATTGTTTTTGCTATTCTGGGTCTCCTTGGGTTCCATATGGATTTTAGGATTGTTTTTTCTAGGTCTGTGAAGAATGCAGTTGGTATCTTGATTGTGATTTCATTGAATTTTTCCGTGAATGGCTCTAAGCAGGCTGAGAGATCTGCACTTGTAGATTAGCCTGTTTTTCTTGTTTATCTGAGTACTTTCAGATTCTCCCTGAAACTTAATGTGGAACGGGCCCGGTAGCCTCTCATTTCTGGGCAGTGGGAGCAGAAGGAACAGAGAAGGCAACGAGATGGGAACAGAGAACTGCCTCTTTGGTGGGTCACTAGTGAGTGCTGCTTGTGCAGGAGACAAAGAGGTCAGAAGCTTGAATTTTTTCTTTTTCTTTTGGATTTTAAAATTATTATTATTTTTTTTTGGTACTGGGGATTGAACTTGGGACTTTGCGCTTGTGAGGCAGGCAGTGGAACCACTGAACTAAATCCCTGGCCCTGGATTTTTAAATTATTATTATTATTGTTTTTTTGAGACAGGGTCTCACTCTGTAGTTCAGTCTGGCTTTGAATTTGCAGCAATCCTCCTGCCTCAGCCTGAGATTAGAGGTGTGGAGCACCACCCCTGTTTTTTTTGGAATTTTCTAACAAACTCATTTATCAGTCCAGGGTATTTTTCTGTGGGAGTAAGAAGCAAAGAATGAAGTACAGGAAAGTCCTGTGTTAGTTCTCACATGCTCAACTTCCACAGCAAATCAGGGTCCTCTGTGTTAATAGCACCCAATATTATTTTTTTAATAAAAGAGGAAATGATGTATATGCCACCCTTATTTCGTGCATAGTCCTCTTTTATTTTCATATTTACTAACAGACCCATCACCAACTTGGAGCTAGGACATGGAAGGGTACCTAGACAAACCTATGTGTCCTTTTAGAGTGTGTGGCATGCTGGTAATTCTTTACAGTACTTATAGTTATTTATTTAATTAAACCCTAGGAGAACAAGGACTAAGGACATTTGGTTTATCATATTTATCCTACAGTTAATAAAATATCAAGTACTTATAATATCTTAATCTTTAAAAAATTTTATTCTGGTAACAAAGGTAATAAAATTTACCACATTGGGCAGGGGATTTAGCTCAGTGGTTTCGCCACCTGCTGTGCAAGTGCAAGGACCCGAGTTCAATCCCCGGTACCAAAAAAAATAAAATTTACCACATTACCCATTTCTCAGTGTACAATTCAGTAGTGTTAAGTGTGTTCATATTGCTAGCTGTGCATGGTGGTGCACGCCTGTAATCCCAGCATTTGGGAGGCTGAGGCAGGAGATTGTAAACCTGAAACTCAGTACCCATGAAACAATAACTCCCCATGTCTACTTCCCTCCACTCCCTGGTAACCACATTCTACTTTCTGTTCCTAAGAGTTTGGCTGCTTTAGATGCCTCATATAAGTGGAATTGTACACTAATTTTCTTTTTGTGACAGGTTTATTTCACCTAGGATAATGTTCTCAAGGTTCATTCACTCTACTGCTATTGAATCTGCACTTCACATGTTTTCTTGAAACAGAAATTTATAGGACCACATAGTGAGTTCAAGGCCAGCCTTGAACAGCAAGAGCCTGTCTCAAAAAAATTAAAATAAAAAATCAAAGAAATTTGTAGGACCACAGCTTCTTGCATTATTTTTATTAGAAATTAGTTCTCAGCTTCCAGTCTTGGCAGAACAGACTGCTAAACATCTTTTACTTTATTTACTATACATAAATGAGTTGGGACTCTTTTTTTTTTTTTTTTTACCAGGGATTGAACTCGGGTCCTTGAGTTTGTGAAGCAGGTGGGGAAACCATTGAGCTAAATCCTCGGCCCCGAGTTGGGATTCTTTTGCTGAAAAACTTAATCTTTATCTAAGTCGACCTTATTACAGGCTCACTGTAAAGGTTTAACAAATTTCTTTTCTTTTTCCGGACCTCATGCATGCTGGGCAACCCTCTACCACTGAGGTACATCCGCAACTTCTAATAGTGTCTTCTGATTAACAAACTTATTTTTCAGGGATGTAATTTTGTATGCTGCTTATGATGTTCAGTTTTTAAGTGTAAGCTTAAGACAATTTTATATATAACTGCTTAGAAAACATTTATTTTGTTACTTGCTACTATAAGGTAATTTCTACATATGAAAAAGCTTATTTTAAATAGATTTATTTAGTAGCGAAAGTGAGTCCATTTAAATAAAATTTTAATAAAATAATAACAGAAGTAGCTTGCAGGTAAGACCACACTAGATGGCCGGCATCAGTCCAGCTAGACTCTGGGAAAACAGGTTCACCCCTTATAATTGAATGGATGACAACAGAGCTATGGGAGCCGGGAAGGCCAGACTAAGGCTGGCGCGCACACACCGCTGTCCCCGCCTCCCCGCTTCCCCGCCCATGCAGCCCAGTGCGCAGGCGCATCGGCGCTCCCTACGCAAGCGCGGGCGCGGGGTCCGTGGGGTCCCACGCAGCAGCCATAGGTCGCGGGCGCAGCGAGGAGTGTTCGGGATGGGCGCCCCCGAGGCCGACCGCTGGGCGTGGCTGCTGGTGCTCAGCTTCGTGTTTGGGTGCAATGTCCTGCGGATCCTCCTCCCGTCCTTCTCCTCCTTCGTAAGTGACTGCCGGGCTTTCCAGGGACCAGCGCGGTCGGCGCGGACAGGGGCGCCTCAGCCTGGCCGGCCGAGGGCCAGCCTCGGTCGCAGGAGTGCCTGCGTGGTCTGTTCTGTGCTTCAGGATTTTAAAAAGATTATTTATTTATTTATCTATTTTTGAAACAGGCTCTCCCTGTGTAGTGCAGGGTGGCCTTGAACTCGCAGTGATCCTGCAGCCTCAGCCGCCCCAGTGCTGGGGTTACGGGCTTGCGCCACCACGCCAGGCTTTGTGTTTTATTTTTCTGAGATGATTCCAAGCGTCTGAAAGTTGCAAGGCTTCCCCTCTAAAGACTTCTTGGTGGATTCCCTAGGGGTGGAAGACACCCGGCGACACCTGGCCAGGCTTTCACATGGCAGGATCTCCGGCGATGGGCGGCGGGCTCAGGCGGGGCGTCCTTGGTGCCGAACGCCAGCCTCACTGCTTCCCTTGATCCGGGCCCCGGGTCTGAGATGGGCCTCATGCATGCTTGGCAGGGTTTCCTGGAGGCCTCGAGGCCGTTGTTACTGGTGCCAGGCCCCCGCGCGATCGATGTCAGGGCGCAGGCGCCCCCATTCTGGACAGGTGGGCCGGGGAGGCTGGGTAGAGAGAGAATCTCTGTAGAGTGTGGTGCTTTCTGTGTGCAGGGGAGCCCCGAGCGTTGGGGAGCACTCTTTCTGCCTGCATCTTGCCCCGGCAGTGAGTGCCGCCCCCGTGTCCCCATGTCCCCATGTCCCGACTGCAGGGAGTGGGGACTGCCATCATCTTTTCCGTTACCTCCCAGGGGAAGAGTCGGGCTCAGAATTTCATAGCTGCACTAAGTCATCTCCCTAGTGACTCCTGATTGGATATTCCATCCTTGCTTTGTGATTCTCCCGGTTCTGCCCTCCTACCTAATGGAGCACGAATAGGGATCGGGTGGCAGACTGTACAGGGCAGGGTAGGATGGGGTAGCAGGAGCCCACCCTATGGAGTGGAAGCAAGGGCCTGTCTGGCTCAGACTGAGACTTAAGAAGGAAAACGGGTCTTGCTTTTCCCTCTAATATAAATTGGTGTTGAATATGCATATTTAAGACTAGGCAGGGCTTCTGCTTCTCTCATGTTTTATTCTACCAGTATTCATCGACTGATTATTTGTGCAAAACTGTTTTAGGGCTTTACCCTCCTTACCTTCTGTGCTAGAGGTTTTTTCTACCCCTCACTCTCTTTCAGAATCTTCCCTGCTGCTGCTTCACCTTTAAGATGACGTGCTGGGTATTTAACATGCCACAAAAGACTCTTGAAGAGCTGGCCTATGCTCTTTTTTCTTTTTTAAACTGTGAAGTGCCCATAACATAACATTTATCATTGTCTTGGTAATTTTCTTCATCACTGAGACACTATAGTTTAGTACTTGCAATTTAAAGAGGAAGTTTACTTTGGCTCATGTTTTAGTCAGCGCAGTCAGCGGCCTCCAAGGCAGGGTGGCCTGGCCGAGGGGCTGGAGGAGAGAGCCGCGCAGGGCATGGTGGGGGTAAGCAGAGGTGCACCCTTCCAGGCCACGCCCCCAGTGACCGCCTCTTCTGCCCAGACCCCGCCTCCTAAGAGGAAGTCAGTGTAGCTCCCATCACCCAATCACGATCCAGAACCCCCACCTGTAAGCATTCAAGGCTCTTGGAGGATCACTAAATGTAAGCTATAACACTCATCTTAACAGCTTGAAGGGCGCAGTTTGGGTGGCTTAAGAACCTTGTTGTGCAACCCATCACCGTCCCAGAACTTAATCTTCCCCACGAAGACTGTACCCATTGCACAATTCCCCTTTCTCCCTCCTCCAGTCTCTGGGCCACCAGACTCATTGCAAATGGGGTCATACTTTATTTGCTCTGTTTGTTTCACTTATCTCACTTAGCATAATGTCTTCAAGGTTTATGTTGTAGCATTTGTCAGAATTTCCTTTTTTTTTTTCTTCCCCGCTTCCGGGGTCAAAGCCAGAAGTGCTCTACCGCTGAGCTACATCCCTAACCCTCACCTTTTTTTTTTTTTTTTTGGAGACAGGCTCTCTCGGGACCTTGCGCTTGCACAGCAGGCAGTAAAACCACTGAGCTAAATCCCCGGCCCTCTTAAGTGT